ATGGTTCTAAAGAGTTAGCACCCCCCTATACAAATAACTTTTAAAAAACATTTTGAAATAGCTATAGACTGACTGGCATTATCCTTATAGAGATACGCTTAAGATGCTGCCATTTACTGAATAAACAAGCTTGAGTTAAATGAGCAGAAAACTAAAGCAAACCTACATAATATTCCTACCAGTTTCCATTAATTGATTTGATAGCAATAAAAAAGCTCTGAAGGACTGTCATGCTTGGAGAAATCATTTAAAACTTTAGCTTTAAGATTATTATTTTGAATCAATATTAAGTAATATGAATGAGACATTTAAATCTGGTCTAATTGGCATAAAAAAGATAAGGCTTCAAGTTAGGGCTCAAACATTTTGTAAACTTTTTATTTATGCTGACTGACATCTGTTGAAATGCCAAAATGCAAAACCACATGTACTCTGCCGAACACCTCTGCACTGGCTATAGGACATACTTGTCAATCAAATCCACTTTGGTGTCTGCATCCATTATTTCTAACTCAAGAATTTCTTCTAGCTTGTAAATTCCCTTTCAGTCGATTCACTCAGTGCAACATGAGTATGTGATATAACATCCCTGTGTATCCTGGCTAAAATAAAATGACGTGATGACAAGTTCTTTCAGCAAACACCGCAAGCTGACAAAACCACACTACATGAGGAAGTAGAAAACACAGCTGTTTACAACTTTATCAAAGCCTCGGAATGCTGTTCGAGAGTGACAATCCTTTCTTTCCTGGAGTTTTTCCACAATGTGTGGATAATGCTGATATTTATGGGCTAAATCAAGGTATGTCTCTAGATTTTTATTTTGGGAACCCTCGCCAGCAAGAGCTGCTGCGAGCTGGCCATGTTTTCTGTGCAGATCCATACGCTTAGTTACAAATTTTCCTAGGGAGACCAAATTTCCGCACGGGGTCCGTGCAGACAGGTGTTGAGGTCCAAAATAATGTAATTTGGCAGAGCAGACCGCACAGACACGTCAAGCATAAACCAAGCTTTAGCCAATACTTACTGCCGGTAAGCGTGCCTGCCTTTAAGTTCAAGTTTACCTATACATCTTTGTTGTTCAGGATGAGCACAAAGCAAAAAAAACAAAGCAGAAGTCTTCCATTCCCCCCTATCCTCAGGGATGTGGCCTCTCAAGTCACGACAAGGACCAGCACAAAGCCTGTCCCGTGTGTCTGGGGATCATTCATGCTCAGAGCGTGGGTGGAGCATGAAGGAGGTGCGTTCTGTCACCAGATTTGTCGCTCTATGCTCTACGGGTTAAGGTTATGACAAAGTGCTGGGAGTGGCTGCTGTCTCACGGCAAGACCCATTGGTCTCAGAGTCAGGAAACACAGTTTTGTCCGTCTGGTGAAGACAACCTTTCACTTGATGTGTAAGGCATCAACTGCAGACCAGATAGACTATATGGATGGATGGATCAGGATGTGAGGTTGTGTGATCAACTATTTGTGTGCTTAACCCAGCAAGGGGGAAGGCACTCACTGGATTGTGGAGGCCATATCTCTAGCTTACAGGAGCAAGAGTCTCCATATGCCGAGGAGTGAAGGCTCACTCCACCTGGGGTGCAGCAACCATCTGGGCGCTATTTAAAAGGGTGCTCAGAAGGTGAGATTTGTGCTGGTCTTCACCACATAAATTGTAGAGCTTTATTGTTTGGCTATGACCGCCTCTTCTGTGGCTCAGTCCGTTCTCTCTGTGGGCCTAAAGTGCTGCATTAGCCTGCTGTAGCTGAACCAGGTTTGATGGTTGCTCCGCGGGGTGTTTATATACGCCCAATACTCATGAATTGTACTGAGTGAATTGACTGAAAGGGAACAAAATGTTATGTATATAACCAACGTTCCCTGAAGGAGGGGAACACAGTCATGTCTGCCCCGATTCTCAGCTGGACTTGGTGAAAAGAGGCTATCAACCTAAGTAATTGCGGTAATGATGGACACATATAAAGTGCAGGTGGGGGCTGTCTCGTCGTCATCACATCATTTGCCTAGGATACATGAGTAGAGGTGGTTTCAGCCGGGATACTCAGGGGGGTGATATCCCACACTCATGTTGTACTTTGTTCCTCTCCTTCAATGAACAGTAGTTATATACATAACATTATGTTTATCCCACAGATATACATTTTAACATGGCTCCACCTGAGCCACTTGCTCAGACTTCCATTTTCATGACAATTAAACACCGGAGGACAGTGGAGTCAGCCACCCCACGCAGTAAAGCTCCTTTCTGCAGAGATAGGGATGAAGAAAGAATGAAAAAAAAGAAAAAGAAAAAACGTGTGTGGCCTGGATAAATTGTGCCAGGATTAAAGCTAGTTCCATCATAGCTTTAGTCCGTTCACTGCTTCGTATAAAAACCTATTAGCATGTCAATGAATAGGCACACACTGGGTGGAGTTTTCTAAAGTCCAGGAGCACTGATCCAGTATCAGGTGAGCTTTCTGCAGCAACTGAGATGGTGTAGGTGTGTGTTTGCGTGTGTGTGTGAACATGTGTGTGGTCCACAGGGAAGGGGAGGGTTTTTACTGATTGTGTAAACCTTTTTCTGAACTTTTATGAGATTTTACATCACTCAGGAGATAAGTACAGTGTATAAATGCTGTAATAAAGTTCAACTGGGAGTAAACAATTTAATCAGCTTATTAAAGTCAGTGGTCTCATCTTTATAAAAACTATCTGGACAAGATAAGATAAAAATGTAATTTGGTATATTAAAAAAATAAACATGTTTTTGCAGAGATGTATACAAGACGACATTTTTAAAAGACAAAGCCCCTGCTTATAACACAATGCGGAAAAAATAACATTTGCATAACATGAATCTAAGATCTGTGATCGCTGAAGCATTTTGATGAATCAAACAAATTCTACCATAATGTTTAATGGGTTTAAATTAAAAAAGAGGTAAAATCTGCTAAATACATTATCAAAACACAATTTTTTAGTAAGCAGACTGTTCCAGCATTTGCATGAATTGATATAATCCCTTTATTACCTTAGAAATGTACTTTAAGCTTAGAGCAATCTATTAATGAAAGCTACATCCAGCACAGACTGAAAGATTGGTTCCAATTAAAAACAGCAAGGAAAGAGCCAAAATATCCAAACATTAAAACCCCTCAAACTGGAAATGGGCCCCAAAACAACAGGAGAGGATAAATCCCCAGCAAGGCTTGCTGTGTGTTACTTACCTCTCTTTGTAATACCAGCTCCTTTGTGAACAGCATGGCTTCATCGCTGAAAGGTTCGGCCACCTGCACTCCACCAGGCGTATTCCGGGAACTACGCGGACATTCGATACCTAGCCAAACATGACGACAATGTTTCAGTCAAAGTTCTGTGAAAGTGCAACAAAATAATATGGCAGTGGTTTAACAGTCCATTTATGTTTTGGTTTAAGTCGTTTTTTTATTTTGCCTGGTGGAAATAAATGCCCTCACATCTAAAAAAAACGTTAAAAAAAAAACAAAAAAAAATAATAAAATTTTAAAAATCATGATTACGTGCTTTCAAGTCATGGCACATGAACCGATTTATGTTTATTCCAAATTTTACATGAATTCACTTAATCTTCTTTTATACTCATGAAGTGTATCAACATTTGGTTTATTTCCGTACAAATAAAACTCAGCTATTTCAGATTTATTGCCAAGTAGGTTTGCAGGAATTTGACTTGGTGTTCAGAAGCATCACTACTTTCAAATACAACCAGTTTCATTTCTGAAAGGTTTTTCAGGTAAAGTCACCTTTTATCTCATGTAAATTCACTTTCTAATTAAATATCTTAGCTAAATGTTGACATTCTGTCCAGAAAAAAAATGCAGCACAAACACCAGCAAGTAATTTAATATAAGGATGCCATGCCTAAGATGACAAAATCTTAAAGCATTAAAACACCAGTTTTACACAAAATATACACCAAAAGTCAAACTATATATGCAAAAGGAGAAAAAAAGCCAAGGATTAAGAACTTTTATTCATATGGTTTGAATAAATTAAATGTTTAACTTTTGGTCTATTTCATTCAGTGAAATCAGTTTGCTGAAATGTAGTTGATTTCATAGCAAATTTCATGCATGAGGAAGATTTCAATATTTTTCCCCAACTTAGTTTGAGCCCTTGGCACTGTCAATAGGAAAAGATTTTGTGAGCAAATATGCTAGGCTCCAGCACATCTAAGAAAATCTTAGACTTTATATATGAATAGAGCAGGCCAGGATTATCTTCATAACTGAAGAAATTCATGTGGTTTGATTGTCAGAGCAGCAGTGAAGGTCATAATTTAAGTGAATCATTTTATGAGCTTTATTACATCCCATTTATGTTCCTTTGGTTTTTAGCTTTAGGTAAAGTTAAAATAACTTGGAAATAATAAAAAACTCCTGCTGGTCTGAGATTACTGTTCCAGAAAATGACTCATCAGCTCTCTAAGAGAGCACAAAAAACATATCCATGGTGGGTTTGAATGAAGGAATAAATGAACAGAGAAAAATCACAAAGTTAGAGTGGTCAAATGAGAGACAAGTATCAGTTAGCAGATACTAATATATCTATACGTGTTGCTGATTCATTTGTGCAGTGGGTTCCAATCAAGGGGACAGACCCCGAGGGGCGGTGTAGTGTAATTTGGACGTGATAAAGATGGATTCATAACATTCCCCAATTTGAGTGTTTATTTATCCATCTATGGATAGCAATGTTGAATACTGTTACACAGTTGGGGGGAAAAAAAGGCAAACTTAAAAGTATTGCTCTTTAAAAGTTGAAGAAGGGGTGGGAGCAGGGGAGTTAAAAAGTCTTCTTCATGCCCTGTGGTTGTTTTGCCCAGGCAATGAACCAGGTGAGTCCAATATGAAGAGGAAAATAAATTATTCCACTTGGACACACCTGGTTCAGTGGCTGGGCAGAACACACACATGGCATGGAGATGACCTGTTTACCACATCTCCCACCTCTGGGTAGGAGTTTTAAATCAGATTTCAGTTTATTTTATTGCAATGTTTTGATCTACTGTATAAAAGGTTGGAGTCGGGTTAGTTCGAGGGGGAGCAAAAACTTTAATGGGAACAAAAGGGAACATTTGGGAACTACCGAATTATTGCATTCAGCAGCCATGCCTGGAGATCGAGTAGAATGCACGCATTGTGGCTCCCTACATCAGCTCTCTAATGTTAATCCATAGTTTGATTTTTAGTTTTTTTTTTTTTTTTTTTTTTTTTCGTGAGACTTGTGTAACCGTTTTTTAATGGTTTCATTTTCATAATATAAATGTTAGAGCTTGGCCTTTTTTCAGTATAGCCCTGTTTCTTTTACTGTGACTTAAGGGCTGGTTATACTCCGGCAGCAGTGGGTCGTAGTGAGCTTGATGTAGATATTTTTGATTTATGCCCAATATTGAAGCATGGTCTGCGCTATACACTGTGGGTCTAGATACGGCCGAGGTGGTGAGGAATTGGGGGCGAGTTTGTCCGACAAGGGAGGGACATGACGGCAAAAAATAGCGGGGATCCAGGTGGAATAAGGGTCCCAGCACACCTCACTCTTCTAGCTGGTCCAACTTCACGAGTTGTTTTCCGCAATTTCGGTCATAAAAACAAAACAAGCCGGCCTCCTATCTGCCGCACTGTCTGCGGTCACCTACAATTTGGGAGAGGTGCAGCGGCGTGTCTCCGGAGGGAGCTGGGACGTCCTTGTTCACTGCGACACCTACGCCGACAACCTAGTTTCGCAGTATAAATCAGCCTCAACTGTAAGTGCTCTCTTTTATACTCTGACAAGAGAATTGGCTTGGAGCTTATGTGCGTGGCTGTGTCTTTCCTGGACCTGTGGAGCTATTTAGCACCTTTTTTTATTTCTGCTTCATTCTGTTTGTTTTTATCTCCTTGAACCCCAGTTGGCCTTGGCAGATGACCGCTCACACAGAGCCTGGTTCTGCTGGAGGTTTCTTCCTGTTAAAAGGGAGATTTCCTCTCCACTGTCGCTACATGCATGCTTGGTGTGAGGGATTGCTGAAGAGCCAGCGACAAAATGCAAGCAAAATTATGTCAGTAGGCTTATCCAGGAGGAGCATGTCTTGCAAGTCAAAGACTGGATGCAATCAACTGGTTTTCCTTGACGTAAACTTTTAACCCATTTGGCTATATCGTCAGGGATGGTGTGTTCTGAACTGGCGCTATATAACTTAACCGAATTAAATCAACAAAATTAACAGCATAATACAAGCAGTTTCTCTATTCATCTTTGTCAGTCAAGGGGGTGCATAGTACACATCTCCACTAGTCTATTAGTAAAAGGCAGGGGAAACCTTAGATAGGTTGCAAGTTCTTTGTAGAGCAACAAAGAGTTACACAACAATGAACACATACTCTCTCCTAAGGGCAATTTAAAGTCCCCAATTAACCGAAATTAAAGGTCATGCTTCTGGACAGTAAGGAACCCAGGGTACGTGGAAAGAACACAGGGGAGAGCATGCAAACTCCATGCAGAAAGACCCTAAGGTGGGAATCAACCCAGGATCTTCTTGCTGCCAGACAACAATGCTAAAAACTGCGCCACTAATTTTAGCATTTAATCAGCAGACTGACATTCAACCTCTTTCTGCAGCCTTTCAAACTGTAATATTCAAGATTCAGACACATATACAGAAGCACATACTATATATTTACACACACCCACATACTCTTTTACACACACAACTAAACAATACATGTTTATCGGTTTTATTGTTTGTTCAAATCCACAAATAAAAATAATCTTAATTGCTTTAGTTAGGCACAACGAACCAACAAGCAGGTTGGAGCTGTTTATTCCAGAGTAATCTGATGATAGCTTCTGCTGTGAGTTAAAGCCTCCAGCATATTGCTAATAAAGCAACGACTTTCTCCTGAGGTCTTTCTTTCCCATTTGACTTGGGGTTTAATTTAATGAGCTTCTCTGCCATGACAGATATACTGCCTGAGGACAGACTCACAAATATACATGACAGAGAAGCAAAATCTGATTTGTTAGGGCATTCTGATGACTCACTGGTGCGCGTGGCTATCTCGCTGCAGGATCCAAGGATTCAAATTTCACAGCTAAGATCTTCTTAGCGTTAGGCTTCCTCAGAAAAACGATGTATTCTTTGAACTGTGTGGTCATTTTTATTTTATTGATAAGATAAGACAAGAAATGTCTTAGTTCTGTCTATTGGAGATTAATAAGCTTGTAGCTAAAGTAGATTCTTATAATGAAAATCTAGGACACCATGTACCAGGTGAGATCTTAGCTGCTTTATTTTCAGAAAAAGCATCTCGATGGGAGACATGAAAAAGATTGTATTTGTGTTCAAAAGGACTGTATCCCAAATAAAATGTGTTTCCCCACAGCGTTATAGCACAATCTGTTGATTTTTATGAAAGTCAAAACCTGATACACTCATTGCATCACCCAAAAACATAGAGCAAGTAAACCTAGAAAAGAAGCTCACGGCTCCTGGTATAATTAAATAACTGAATTTAAAAACCCACTGGCTTTTTTTTAATCTCATTTTGTACTTTCTGTTCCCTACATGGCCGTACCTGTCCCATTTAGGAGGACAAGAGCAAGATATATCAGCAAATTCACACTGGCAGGACAGGGAAAATGACCCTGGAAAGGCAAAATGAGGCCACATGACAAGTTGCACTGAAACGTTAAAAAAAATTAAATAAAGTACCTTCAGTCCAGTTTCTGACATCAAGTTTGCCACTAATACTTTTTTCACATAAGCTTAAATGTGGACCTTAAACTAATCTAGTGTCAGCTGTGAATACTATTCACTAAAAAAGTATTTTCACACTTCAGTTTTTCCATTATTTCTGAGTCAAATGCAACAATTTTTAATCTTAGAAAACAAAAAGCACAAGGATTTATCATTTATCAAGGATTAAAGCTATCTTAGCCCCATAGCCAAAACTGAAAAGGCAAAGGCTATAAAGTAAATAACCACTTGTGAGCAAATTCCCTTAAAATAAAGCTTTATATCAAAGATTTTTTTAACCATAAGACAATTTGAGGTCATGCCAGAGCACTTTTCCCCTTATTTTGGTTTAAGCATTTATTGGTATCAGCGCACTCATCCGGGTTAGGGTTATAATTTTGGGACAAATACAATTACATTTTCACAAAGAGCTAATTTGATTCAGTTAGCTGCCTTTAGATCAATTTATTTCTTACTGAATTTTTATTATACTTTTATCTTAAAGTAGCATCTTTTTTATTTAAATTTAGTGTGAAATCCTACAACAGATAAAACTATAAGACAATTAACTCTTCTTTTCT